CTATGCCTTTTTTCATCATAATTTTACTGATATTCTATTTATTTTCACCCTTTCTTTCCCACACTTCCCCTCAGATGTTGCATATTCCGTGCTTGTGCGTGCATTCATGTATGCCTTAGTGCCTGTGTGTGAGTGTGGGTCTGCATCCGTGCCAAGTAGTATTCCCCGATAACAGGATTACCATCTTAAGCCCATTCACGGTAAGTGAGCCAGTTGGACGGATAAAGCACTGTATCGTCAACTCCGCTGGTGCTACATCAAGAAGAGAGTTAGGAAAATTGTGGAAGGCAAGCCTAGCAGGCTCTCTGCGAGTTACTGAGAGGGAATATAAAGGATTCGACTTCTGTAGCGCCACGGGAAGCAGTTGTATAGAGGTGGGAAAGCCTTGCAAGCTAAGCTTTGCTTACAGTGATGTCAAACATGGAAGGGTTTAATTTCACTTTGTTTTACAGAGTGGTTGTGCATGTCCTTGTTTTAAAGGTAAATCTCTCTATTAAGCGTGCAATTTGACTTCTTTGAATCAAAGAAGGCAATGTAGTTAAATTACACTATATTAGCAACTGCAAACGTTATTGACTTTAGGTGTGGAGCACAGCAGATGTCCACAGGAGTGACCTGTCCAATTTGGGAACAACATCCAATTTATTCAACCATCTGGTGAAGAAATTTTGTTTGCTTGTGTTTTATTTTCATTATTTGTGGCCTGTGAGCTGAATGTTGCAGGTTAGCATAGATAGGAATATGGTAGAAACATCTCAACAATCTTTTTTCTAGCTAAATGTCAGTATTAAGGCCTCTGATGTATTGTTGTGTTGTTCTGTCAGTTTCCAGTTTGAACAACAGTGCAATGGTGTCTTACAGGCACTGGACCATATCTGCTAGCTCCTGCTGATTCTCTCTGATGTGTCAGTTTGAGGAGTGAAGTGAGAACCTTATGGTACTATGCAGAGAGGGAGGAACATGTTTGTGTCGTGTCGACATGTAAAGTAAAAATGTGAAGGAAAAATGCCAGAATCATAGAGGGACAGAATTAAACAGAGATGGGCTGAGAAAGAAAGGAGATAATAAGGCAACCACACACATAGAGACACACAGTCGAAAACAAATTTAGAGAATTTTGACAGTTCTCTTCTCTTCTCCTCTTCTCTTCTCTTCTCCCTGTATCTGTCTCATTTCTTCCTAAGCATGCCATCAATGTTTCAGATCCATATTCATCATGCATAATTAGTGCCTGCTGTCGTTCTCTCTTTTCCTTTTCCAGAATTTGTAGGCTGTATCTTTTGCCAGTACAGGTACAGTAAATCCATTAAAATCCAATACAACAGCTCTATAATAAATCCCTCCTTTACTCAAAGCTTATAATGTTTAGTTTTGTTGTCACTGTGAGAAAGAGCTATTTATTCAACTGTCTGGACATTTTGGAATGATGTTGAACATTAAATGCTCTATATTAAGTGTACTGAGGATTATAAGCTTCAAAAACTGCGTTTTATCGGGGCCCTTGTATTGGATTTCAGTAGTTTTAGCAAGGTGTGTGTTTCTAATCCACTTGGACCTGGTATTGTTCAAATTTCCAACTGTATTATGGATCACAGCATATTTACTGTGGCTGGTGAAGCTTTGAGCTGCTCAGAAAATGTTAACTTGCTAGTTGGGTCGCAATATGTTTGACACTGACAACCACGTTTGTTTATTTGAATCAAATAAATACGAAGCGTCCATGATACTTTCCAAAACAACTTATCGAAAACATTGTTGCTGCAGTATGCACACGGCTGGAGACGACTGCTGCTGAAGGTACCAAGAGTTCACCTTTAAGGCAAAGTTAAAAGAGTGTTTCACTAAACAATATTAACTCAAAATTATGTTAGACATATCATATGATTAAATGGATAAGTTATCAGTCTTAATGGTTTTAATGGTGTGGAAAGTGTAATGCATTGTTTGGAAATAAATGCTCTAAGATGAAAATACTATAGACGAATAACACATTGCACTTGGCCACTAATGGAAAATTTACTAGCTTATTTACGTCTGACCAGTATTTTAGTGCATTCTATGACCACATTCAAAGAATGCCTAATGGCCAACCCGCCCACCTTCCTTACAAACACCCAGTGGCCCCTAAACCTTCACCTGAAATATTCTGAAAAGGTTGTTCTTCTTTCCTTGGCGCTGTTTCTATGCTTCTGTTGAAACATCTGTGCCCCAGACAGCACACAGATCACCACCTGAATACAGAAAAAGTGAACAAAACTGATGCTTTTCATGTCAGGCTCAATCCAATGGGACACCAAAACTTCCCTTCACATTACACTTCTAACCGAATGTAAGAGCTAATATTATAAGTCTCTGACTCAACAAATGTGTCTTCATCTCCCAGCATGTGCATGGGGGAGTAAGTCTGGGGAAATATGTGTCTTTCATGTGTGTAAATGGAGGTGTATGTAGACACAAAATCTGATGACATATGAGTGTTTGGCTTTCCTGTACTTTGTAAAGAAATAAAAGAAAGGTATCGAGCAAAGTGCCCAGACAGGGATAAGATGAGGGACTAAGAGAGATATCCAGACCAATCTGTCAGGACTGTAGTAGGGGAAAAAAGGCACTGGCTATTGAAGGAAAAAGAAAAGAGAGGGGTGTAGCGGGAGGGTGAAGGAGGTCAGAGAAAGAGAGTGCAGGTGATAGTTTTAAGCTGCTGGTGTCGCAGGCAGATAAAGGCTTTTCTGCCGCCTGGTTTGTCATCTGCATTGCGCACAATATCTCCTTTATTCACAGTATCACCTCCTTCTATTTTGCTTCATCTGCCACCCTGGTGGAGCAACTCCCAGTGTGATGCACTTTTTCTCTTCCCATCATACAGCTGCCAGCAATACAGCATATATCATTCCCTCTTATTCTTTTTCTTACTCTCGCAGGCTGGGGAAAAACCCCCGATATCTCACTTACACATGCAGACCTTATTTTTCTCTCACACATACCTACTATTTCTATCCAAGTAAAACTCCTTCCTTACATGTTTTGTCTCTCTTTACCCTGCGATCTCCTTATTTTACATTATTCTTAGCAGGGATATTGTGGAAAGCTCAAATGTTGCATCCATCCCCACAGACTTTATTCAATATTTTGAGTGCAATACATGATCAAGATTTCATTTTCAGCCTCATTTTTACATGCACAATTTCATCATGTATACACCCATCATCAAGCACACAACTGCCTTTAACTGAGATGTAGTATATTTCTCCCTAAGTTTAAATTCTTAGTACATAATCTTGTCGTTAAGATTCTAGTAAACTTGAGCCTAATGGTCCTGAACTTAAAACCTATGAATAACTCTAAAATGCTACTTCTACAAAACTTCAGCAAACAAAGTGTTCACAATTTGTAAGATTTTGACTCATCTTTTAATCCTTGCGTATAAAATGATACGCAAATGCACACTTCATGCTCACTTTCACTCTCTCCCTTTGTGTGTCTCAAAAAGGTCCACAAAAGACACCCACACACAAACACGTGCCCTCATCCAAACTAGAGCCACTAAACCGTGGACAGACAGGGTTCGCTTCATTGCTCACCTTGGCCGGTTGATCAATGGCAGTCTGTCTCCTCCAAATCCCTCCCACAAACAGAGCTGAATAAACAGACAGAGAGCATTTACACAGGCACTGATAATCTGCTAATCCATATAACCTGTTTTCTAATCAACACACAGACAGACACAGACACA